GTGAACGGGTTAGATAACTCAGGTGTCTATACTTTAACAGCAAAGTTAGATAAGACAGAAGTTTATGAAGTAGGGCCTTCTAAACAAAAAGGGAGTAATGTAGAGATCTACGGGTCTTTAGCGAAGTCCAGCCAACGTTTTCATACAGGATACAGGGATGAGTATCAAAACTGTCACCTGTAACAAAACTAAGGGCACTATGGTAGATGTCATCCAAAGGTTTAAGAGTAGAAGCAGCTGCACTTTGATAAATAATATCGCCATAATCAAGAACAGATGAAAAGGTTACACTTAAAAATCTGCTTCCTACTGCTTAGAGAAAGGCACGATCTGTTTCTGTAACTTTAAATCTTAGCTTCTTAACCAGCTCATCTATATGTTTTTAAACGTCAAATCCATATAAATCCAAATGTAGTTTTGACACAGCCAGATCAACAGTCGGGGCAATAGCATAAATAATAGTATAATCCGTATATAAATAAAGTTAACCATTTTTAACAGATTGACCAATGGTGTTTATTTAAATAGTGAAGAGAACAGGTCCCAAAATCGACCCCTGTGGTACACCTTTATATACTTCAAGAAATTCTGACTTCACGATGGCCTGAGTTCTGACACTAAGATAATCATGAAACCAAGAGCAGGCGTCAGAGCTCAGGCCTATCGAAGACAACTCATTCAAAAAAATAGCATGATCAACAGTATCAAAAGCTTTTGATAGTGTCACGTCTCCTCCCGTTGCTCCCATCCGGCGCTCTGATTCGCCGGTCTACTGAGCCACCGGTCTGAGCGCACCACCTCGGCAACACCGGAATGGAAACCCAACGCACCCTAATCACCTCCAGCGCACTTGCACCTCATCATCTCATCACCACCCCTATTTAGCCCTGGACTGTTCTGTATTGTGTTGTGTGTGATTGTTAAGCGTTGTGTCGTTTACTCTCTCTTTGTTATTCTCTTTCTCATTATTACGTAAACATTGACCTTGTTAATTCCTGCGTCTGCGTCCTGCCTCTTCGTATATCAGTACTCATCACAGACAGGTCCACAAACAAATCATCACATATCATTTTAGATCATTAACAACTAAAATGGTTGTAATAGTGCTATGCCTAGGCCTAAACCCTGATTGATTCAAAATATATTTCTCAGATAAAAAAGAGCAGTTGTACATTACCAAGGATTCGAGAATCTTAGCTAGACAAGGAAGCCTTGAAATGGGGCGATAATTATTAAGATCACTACTAACCCAATCCTTATGGAGTGGCAGTACAAGAGCTGATTTCCATATTTTGGAATATTTCCTGATAACAATGTTAAATAAAAAATGTGGGTTATTGAGCCAACAATGATGGGTGCTACACACTTAAGCAGACCAGGATCCAATTTGTCGGCACCTGTGGATTTCTTGCTGTCTATTGCTAGCAAAGAATCCAGGACTTATTTGTCTGTAAATAGCCTAAAAGAAAAGCTTTGACTATCATTTCTCTGATCATTCAGCAAGTTTCCCCTTTCAGTTTCCAGCCCAATATCATTGTGAATAGGCTTAGAAGTTCTTTGAAACAGATAGCCCGCTGAAATAAAATGGTGATTAAATGCATCAATGATGGAATGTTTGTCTGAATTAATTTGTTGTGGCAGAGAGGAGGAAGTAGAACCCTTCAGGGATTCAAATTTTGCCGGACTCCCATTACAATCTGTACTGAACAAAAATATAAACACAACATGTAAGGTTTTGGTCCCATGTTTCATGAGCTGAAATAAAAGATCCCAGAAATGTTCCATATGCACAAAAAGCATATTTCTCAAAAATATTGTGCACAAATTTGTTTACATCCCTGTTAGTGAGCATTTCTCCATTGCCAAGGTAATCCATCCACCTGACAGGTGTGGCATATCAAGAAGTTGATTAAACAGCATGATCATTACACCGGTGCACCTTGTGCAGGGGACAATAAAAGGACACTCTAAAATGTGTAGTTTTGTCACACAACACAATGCCACAAATGTCTCAAGTTTTGAAGGAGCGTGCAATTGGCATGCTGACTGCAGGATTGTCCACCAGAGCTGTTGCCAGAGAATTAAATGTTCATTTCTCTACCATAAGCCGCCTCCAATGTCATTTTAGAGAATTTGGCAGTGCGTCCAACCGGCCTCACAACTACATACCACATGTAACCACGCCAGCCCAGGACCTCCACATCCGGTAATAAAGCCCTTTTGTGGGGAAAAACTCATTCTGATTGACTGGGCTTGGCTCCCCAGTCATGTGAAATCCATAGATTTGGGCCTAATGAATTTATTCCAATTGTCCGATTTCCTTATATGAACTGTAACTCAGTAAAATCGTTGAAATTGTTGCATGTTGCCTTTATATTTTTGTTCAGTTTAAAAGAGCAGTTACATAATAAGCAGATTTAGCCTTTCTGATTTGTTTTACACAAGGATTCCTCACTTGCTTAAAAGCTTGCCAGTCCGGTGTCCCTGGCCTTGATCCAAGCATCATCTCTTTTATGAATTACTTCTGATAATTCCAGAGTGTACCAGGAGTCTACCTTTAACCCTTCATTTTGTGAAGGGAGCATGAATATCCCAAATACTATTGAAGATATCTGCAAAGAGGCTGAAACCTAAATCAGGTTCAGGGATAGCTGAAATACAATCAAGGTCACTAAAATAAAGATCATGTAAAATAAGCCTGTTCAATTAAGTTTTTTAAAGTCCCTCTTTGTAATGACATGAGGCTTAGATTTTTGTATTCTCATATCTCTAGCACAAAAAAACTGGGCGAGGACACCTGTAGACACATATTTCTCTGGTGGATGCTAGTGGATGTTGATTTCTTGTCACGTTCAAGACCAAGGCCTAACAACTGATTTGTATAGACAGCTCATCCTGTCCATTAGATAACTTGAAACTCAGAAAGTCAAAAGTCATACCAGACATAAAGGTTGCACCTTTCAGCCCCTCCACCCTCCCAGACTGCTGGGCATGTCTGCTCCTTTCAGCCCCTCCACCCTCCCAGAATACTGGGCATGTCTGCTCCTTTCAGCCCCTCCACCCTCCCAGAATACTGGGCATGTCTGCTCCTTTCAGCCCCTCCACCCTCCCAGACTACTGGGCATGTCTGCTCCTTTCAGCCCCTCCACCCTCCCAGACTACTGGGCATGTCTGCTCCTTTCAGCCCCTCCACCCTCCCAGACTACTGGGCATGTCTGCACCTTTCAGCCCCTCCACCCTCCCAGACTACTGGGCATGTCTGCACCTTTCAGCCCCTCCACCCTCCCAGACTACTGGGCATGTCTGCTCCTTTCAGCCCCTCCACCCTCCCAGACTACTGGGCATGTCTTCTCCTTTTAGCCCCTCCACCCTCCCAGACTACTGGGCATGTCTGCTCCTTTCAGCCCCTCCACCCTCCCAGACTACTGGGCATGTCTTCTCCTTTTAGCCCCTCCACCCTCCCAGACTACTGGGCATGTCTGCTCCTTTCAGCTCCTCCACCCTCCCAGACTACTGGGCATGTCTGTACCTTTCAGCCCCTCCACCCTCCCAGACTGCTGGGCATGTCTGCTCCTTTCAGCCCCTCCACCCTCCCAGACTACTGGGCATGTCTGCTCCTTTCAGCTCCTCCACCCTCCCAGACTACTGGGCATGTCTGCTCCTTTCAGCCCCTCCACCCTCCCAGACTACTGGGCATGTCTGTACCTTTCAGCCCCTCCACCCTCCCAGACTGCTGGGCATGTCTGCTACTTTCAGCCCCTCCACCCTCCCAGAATACTGGGCATGTCTGCTCCTTTCAGCCCCTCCACCCTCCCAGACTACTGGGCATGTCTTCTCCTTTTAGCCCCTCCACCCTCCCAGACTACTGGGCATGTCTGCTCCTTTCAGCTCCTCCACCCTCCCAGACTACTGGGCATGTCTGTACCTTTCAGCCCCTCCACCCTCCCAGACTACTGGGCATGTCTGTACCTTTCAGCCCCTCCACCCTCCCAGACTGCTGGGCATGTCTGCTACTTTCAGCCCCTCCACCCTCCCAGAATACTGGGCATGTCTGCTCCTTTCAGCCCCTCCACCCTCCCAGACTACTGCCCATGTCTGCTCTGTGTGCCCCTCTGTGCCTCTAGGAGGGTAGTGGTAGCCCCAAATGATTATTTTCAAAGCGTATTCCTCCTCTAGTGTAGTTATGATAGACTTTTATCCCTGGACATGAAGGGTGGTTTCTGGATTGTCGGAGGAGGGATACTGACAGAGAAACAAAATAATAGAGGATAATTGAGGTCTATTAGCTAAACCTAGTGTTTACAGTCAAATGGTGTGTTACACACACGCACGCACACTGGATGGATGCCTTCAACTACTCTGACTTTTACGTTCCCTCTCTCAATTCAGTCTTTCTACCTCTCGCAATAAGGTATGCATAGAGCATACCGTACTATACGTTGTCTGAAATTGACATGAAAGTCAATGTAATTAAAGACATACTCCGGAACTTTGGCGACTAGTAAGTATTTTTTCAACCTCCCACTTTAGGCTGGATGTGTCCATGTGTAGTTCGTACATGCATAATCTATGAGCAGAATTACTGTCTTACCTCGATTAGCCACGAAATCCATAGTTTGAAAGTGACTGTTTACTGGAAGCTTTGCAGCGCCATTTTCCCTACATTTTCCCCCACTTGGGCCAGCCCCCTAGCAATTAGAGTTCCAGCCAATGAGGTTCAGCCCCTCGGCATTTGAGTGACTGCTAGCAAGATGCACACACAGCAGAGCAAGAGAGAGCAATGACAGGGTGTACATCCACTGTATCTGCACATATGTAACGTGGTATGCAATTCTCGGGGACCACTTTTGGCTCGTGAGCACTACTTTCAGAACTATTGGCGAAAAAGTATACAAAAGTACCAGAGAATCTCTTTGATAACAAACCAAGCACTCACTGTCTCTCCTTTCTTCTTTCTCTGTCCCCTTATTGTCCCTCGCTTACTACCCCTCTCCATTCCTCCTTCCCCTGTCCCTCCATCAGAAGCATCATGAGTGTGTGACCAGTTCGGAGTTCCTGATGTCTCTGAGGTCAGGGAAGCAGGGGGACTGCCCCCCTCCCCAGCGAGCCACAGGATTCACTGCCGCCTGCGTGGAGAGCTGCTCCAATGACAAACACTGCTCCGCCTCCACGAAGTGCTGCTCCAATGGCTGCGGACACACCTGCCAGGCTCCAGCCAATCTCTATAAAGGTGCGTCTTACTATAGGTCTGTGTTAAGACAAAAATACATGCATCTGACTGAACCATGTGCTGTGTGTCAGTAGCAGTAACTAGCCTTTGTTCTTCATCACCTCTATGACAAGTAAAAGCAAAAAGGTGTATACCTACCTGTGCTTTTACTCAGTGTTCTCCTCACCTGTCCCAGGTGTACCTCTGAAGCCCAGGAAGGACATGTCGTTCCTGGAGGACCAGCCGGGTCAGCTGGAGGTCAGATGGATGTCAAGGTTCAACGTGACCATTGAGCCGGTCCTCTACATCCTGCAACGCAGGTGGAACCACGGGATACACCCCAACGAGGATGACGCTTCGCCCTGGCACACCGTCTTCATGGTAACCAGCCCGACCTCCCACTCCGACCTTTAATTAGCTTTTTAACTCAAAGTGCATGAAGTGAGGCCCAAACTGGATCCTCCAAAGATATTCAGACACTTGTGGAACTGTTTATGTCTCTTTATTACTGAAAACCAACTAATTTTAGCACTAAAGCCTTCATCAAGGTGCTAGTCAACAACACAGTCCACTCCAAGCTCATCACCAAGCTCAGGACCCTTAAACTGAACACCTCCCTCTACAACTGGATCCTGGACTTCCTGACAGCGATGAGGTAGCCTATAGGGACAAAGTCATAGACCTGGCAATGTGGTACCAGGACAACAACATCTCCCTCAATGTCAGCAAGACAAAAGAGCTGATCGTGGACTACAGGAAACGGAGGGGCGAGCACACCCCCATCCACATTGATGGGGCTATGGTGGAGCGGGTCGAGAGCTTCAAGTTCCTCTGTGTCCACATCACTAAATAATTAACATGATCCACACACACCCACACAGTTGTGAAGAGGGCACGTCAGCGCTTCTTCCCCCTCATTAGGCTGAAAAGATTTGGCATGGTCCCTCAGATTCTCAAAAAGTTATGCAGCTGCAAAATTGAGAGCATATTGATCGGCTGCATCTCCGCTTGGTATGGCAACTACAAGGAACCCAACCACAAGGCGCTACAGAGTGTGGTCAGTACAGCTTAGTACATCACTGGGGCAGAGTTCCCTGCCATCAGAACCTATAAAGGAGGCGGTGTCAGAGGAAGGCCCCCCAAAAAATCAGACTCAAACCACCCAAGCCCTTGACTGTTCTCTCTGCTACCGCACGGCAAGCGGTACCAGTGCACCAAATCTGGAACCAACAGGACCCTAAACAGCTTCTACCCCCAAGACATTAGACTGATAAACAAGACTGCTAAATAGCTAATCAAATGTCTACCCGGACTACCTGCATTGACCCTTTTTTGCACTAACTCTCTTGCACTGACTCTATGTACACACACTGGACCTTCCTAGTCAAGGTGCAATGATTGGGCTAGTGAGGAAAGGTTCTGTGAGGGACTACTGGACCACTGACCCCATGCTGCAGACCCCTTTTCTCTCAACCCTTTTCTCCCAGGACCGCTTCCTTGTCTTGCTGAGAGCGCTCCACTTTGTGAACAACGGTACTGCCAACCTCGCTGACCCCCTTCACAAAATTAGGAATGTCCTGGGCAGCTTTGACCAGGGCATTTAGAAGAGTGTTTGTGCCTCACAAGGACTTGTGCATTGGTGAGTCTCTCATGGTTTGGAAAAGGAGGCTTGCATTCCGCCAATTCATCCCATCAAAGCGCCACAGATTTGGAGTCAAGTTTTTACTTTTATGTGACTGTCTGACAGGATATGTACAGGAGTTGATCATCTACACCAGTGCCACCACAGATACAGTATAAGGCATGTTGAGGGTCTTGGCATATCTGGATCAGTGGTGATCACCATGCTGCAGCCTTACCACGGAAAGGGGCACAATGTATTTGTGGACAACTGGTACAGTAGCCCTAACCTTTTCCAGTACGGTTTGAGGGAGAACACAGGAGCCTGTGGCACAGTAAGATCCCACAGTAAGGGGTGCCAATATTCAAAAAGAAAATGAGCAATGGGGAGGTGGAATTCCAAACCAACAGGGCAGTGAATTGGCACGACAAACACAATGCCCATGTTCTGTCCACTTTGCACACATCCAAAATGTCGGACACAGGAAAACTGGACTATGTCACCGAAGAGAGGAAAATGAAGCCAGACTGTGTCTTGTAGTACAACAAGAAGATGGGAGCAGTTGACAAAGTGGACAGCAGGACAGTTTTGTTGAGTGTGCCAAATAGTCCCTCAAATGGTACAAGAAGCAATTTTTCCCACCTAATAGACATAGCTCTCCTCAACGGCCACATTGTCCACCGGCAGGTCACAAGACAGGTGATCTCGTACCAGCAGTACAGGATAAACCTGATGTGGCGGCTCCTTGAGGACCACCGCACTCCTCATTGTCCATCCACTGGGGGCCGACCTGCATCTGACAATCCTCTACGCCTCATTAGACACCACTTCAGACCACCCTGCAAGGGAAAAGCACAACGAGGTATTGCAAGGTTTGTCTATCATCAACCAGCGACCAAAACAAAGGAAGATGACCAAGTGCATGTGCGAGCCTTGTAACACAGCCTTGTGTGCAGTCCCTTGCTGTGGCGAGTACCATACCCTCATGCACTACTGAGTGGAAAATAGGCCTATAGTGGCTGACAGGAATAGCTTATTGACCTATGACCTGTCTATTGACCTATGACCAATGACTGATAAGAGTAGAATCTGAGGGGGATAGTTGTTGCTTTATGCTGATATTTTTTTACATGTAATATTGTAAAATGTATTGAAATATATGACTTGAGGTGTTTGATGCATGGTGGGTGAGGGGGGATTGGGGAAATATGTTTTTAAAAAGATAGAATTCTAAGATGTGTTTGTTTACCTGAAATGAAATACTTTGTTTGACTCCTGGGCTCCATTCCAGAAATAAAACAGAAGAAAAGTATGTAATCAACATTTGTTATTCCTTGATTTGTAATCAATTTCAATCAAACTTTTCAAAAACATATTTTCCCTAGCCAACAACCTTTAGCCAAACCTGTTTCATAAGCTGGCTGCTACTGCAGATATATTTTTCCTAGGAATATGTAGTTAGTAATACTTGAAGTTCATACAAATGTAACCATGTTTTGGAAGGAGAGCAATAACTGGTCCATGTAACATTCAGCCCTAGATGACGCCAAAGCATAAACCTAGATAATCCTGTCTAGCTCCATAGTTTATGATAACCCATTATCTCTACAACCTCGCCTCACTCATGCCACGGTCTCTGCATACAATATAGCTGATTACATGCACACACCATTCAATCTGATCACCCGCAAAACTACCTCACTTTGTTGCTTACATTTTTGACCAAATACAATGCTATTTTTCAGAGAACAAGTTAACTACTGACTTTCAGCATGAATATAGACAAGGGCACTCACAAGGGCACTCACTTGCTATGGCTTTACATCACATGCCATCACATGGTTGGAGGGTTATTAAGCCAATAGAACCCAGAGACTGTTCTTCAATGGAAGCTTCTCTAACATCAGATTTGTACAGTGCGGTGTCCCTCAGGGCAGTTGTTACTTTCTCAATTTTTACAAATTATTTGCCACTCATGGCAAATAATGTGCTGCGAGCTGCCCAGTGACACAAGACTTCCAGACGAGCTAAGCCACTTCTATGCTCGCTTCGAGGCAAGCAACACTGAAGCATGCATGAGAGCACCAGCTGTTCCAGATGACTATGTGATCACGCTCTCCGTAGCCAATGTGAGTAAGACTTTTCAGCAGGTCAACATTCACAAGGCCGCAGGGCCAGACGGATTACCAGGACGTGTACTATGAGCATGTGCTGACCAACTGGCAAGTGTCTTCACTGACATTTTCAACATGTTCCTGACCGAGTCTGTAAAACCAACATGTTTCAAGCAGACCACCATAGTCCCTTTGCCCAAGGACACTAAGATAACCTGCCTAAATGACTACCGAAACGTAGCACTGACGTCTGTAGCCATGAAGTGCTTTGAAAGGCTGGTCATGGCTCACATCAACACCATTATATCAGAAACCCTAGACCCACTCCAATTTGCATACCGCCCCAACAGATCCACAGATGATGCAATCTCTATTGCACTCCACACTGCCCTTTCCCACCTGGACAAGAGGTACACCTACGTGAGAATGATATTAATTGACTACAGCTCAGCATTCAACACCATAGTGCCCTCAAAGATCATCACTAAGCTAAGGATCCTGGGACTAAACACCTCCCTCTGCAACTGGATCCTGGACTTCCTGACGGGCCGCCCCCAGGTGGTAAGTGTACGTAACAACACATCTGCCACGCTGATCCTCAACACGGGGGCCCCTCAGGGGTGCGTGCTCAGTCCCCTCTTGTACTCCCTGTTCACCCATGACTGCATGGCCAGGCACGATTCCAAAACCATCATTAAGTTTGCCGACGACACAACAGTGGTAGGCCTGATCACCGACAACGATGAGACAGCCTATAGGGAGGAGGTCAGAGCCCTGGCCGTGTGGTGCCAGGATAACAACCTCTCCCTCAACGTGACCAAGACAAAGGAGATGATTGTGGACTACAGGAAAAAAAGGAGGACTGAGCACGCCCCCATTCTCATCGATGGGACTGTAGTGGAACAGGTTGAGAGCTTCAAGTTCCTTGGTGTCCACATCACCAACAAACTATCATGGTCCAAACATACCAAGACAGTCATGAAGAGGGCACGACAAAGCCTACTCCCCCTCAGGAGACTGAAAAGATTTGGCATGGGTCCTCAGATCCTCAAAAAAATTATACAGCTGCACCATCGAGAGCATCCTGACTGGTTGCATCACCGCCTGGTATGGCAACTGCTCGGCCTCCGACCACAAGGCACTACAGAGGGTAGTGCGTACGGCCCAGTACATCACTGGGGCCAAGCTTCCTGCCATCCAGGACCTCTATACCAGGCGGTGTCAGAGGAAGGCCCTCAAAATTGTCAAAGACTCCAGCCACCCTAGTCATAGACTGTTCTCTCTGCTACCGCACGGCAAGGGGTACCGGAGTCCGAAGTCTAGGTCCAAAAGACTTCTCAACAGCTTCTACCCCCAAGCCATAAGACTCCTGAACAGCTAATCATGGCTACCAGGACTATTTGCACTGCCCCCCCACCCCCACCCCCACCTCATATTTTTATGCTGCTGCTACTCTGATAATTATTTATTTACATGTACATATTACCTCAACTACCTCAACTAGCCGGTGCCCCTGCACATTGACTCTGCACCGGCACCCCCCTGTATATATAGCCTCCCTACTGTTATTTTATTTTACTTCTGCTCTTTTTTTCTCAACATTTTTTTGTTGTTGTTTTATTTTACTTTTTTATAAAAAAATGAATGCATTGTTGGATAAGGGCTGTAAGCAAGCATTTCACTGTAATGTCTACACCTGTTGTATTCGGCGCATGTGGCCAATACAATTTGATTTGATTTGATTTAGTCTTACACAAAGCTAGAATGACTTTGTATGCAGATGATTCCACACTCTACATGTCAGCACCCAAAGCCAGTGAGCTCACTGAAATTCTAATCAGAATGGGTGATTAATAATAAACTGGTCTTAAACACATCGGCTTCGGCTAATGGGGATCCCAATAAAATCAAAAAATCTACATGACTTGATCCACCCTGCTCTGACTCCCCTCCAACCAGGCTAAAACCTATCCAAGCCATAATACTCACCGCATTTGATGATTGCGAAATATCTTCCTCGCTTGGCAACGAGGCAGGTATCTGGCTGTCTGTAGTCTACATGTCCAGTGGTGATAATACAGTTGAAGTCGGAAGTTTACATACACCTTAGCCAAATACATTTAAACTAAGTTTTTCACAATTCCTGACATATAATCCTAGTAAAGATTCCCTGTCTTAGGTCAGTTAGGATCACCACTTTATTTTAAGAATGTGAAATGTCAGAATAATATTAGAGAGAATCATTTATTTATTAATATTCCCAGTGGGTCAGAAGTTTACATACACTCAATTAGTATTTGGTAGCATTGCCTTTAAATTGTTTAACTTGGGTCAAACGTTTCGGGTAGCCTTCCACAAGCTTCCCACAATAAGTTGGGTGCATTTTGGCCCATTCCTCCTGACAGAGCTGGTGTAACTGAGTCAGGTTTGTAGGCCTCCTTGCTCGAACACGCTTTTTCAGTTCTTCCCACACATTTTCTATAGGATTGAGGTCAGGGCTTTGTGATGGGCACTCCAATACCGTGACTTTGTTATCCTTAAGCAATTTTGCCACAACTTTGGAAGTGTGCTCATTGTCCATTTGGAAGACCCATTTGCGACCAAGCTTTAACTTCCTGACTGATGTCTTGAGATGTTGCTTCAATATATCCACATAATTTTCCTTCCTCATGATGCAATCTATTTTGTGAAGTGCACCAGTCCCTCCTGCAGCAAAGCACCCCAACAGAAATGCTGCCACCCCCGTGCTTCACGGTTGGGATGCGGTTCTTCGGCTTCCAAGCGACCCCCTTTTTCCTCCAAACATAACGATGGTCATTATGGCCAAGCAGTTCTATTTTTGTTTCATCAGACCAGAGGACATTTCTCCAAAAAGTACGATCTTTGTCCCCATGTGCAGTTGCAAACCGTATTCTGGCTTTTTTATGGAGGTTTTGGAGCAGTGGCTTCTTCCTTGCTGAGCGGCCTTTCAGGTTGTGTCGATATAGGACTCGTTTTTACTGTGGATATACAGTGGGGGAAGAAAGTATTTAGTCAGCCACCAATTGTGCAAGTTTTCCCACTTAAAAAGATGAGAGATGCCTGTAATTTTCATCATAGGTACACGTCAACTATGACAGACAAAATGAGAAGAAGAAATCCAGAAAATCACATTGTAGGATTTTTTATGAATTTATTTGCAAATTATGGTGGAAAATAAGTATTTGGTCAATAACAAAAGTTTCTCAATACTTTGTTATATACCCTTTGTTGGCAATGACACAGGTCAAACGTTTTCTGTAAGTCTTCATAAGGTTTTCACACACTGTTGCTGGTATTTTGGCCCATTCCTCCATGCAGATCTCCTCTAGAGCAGTGATGTTTTGGGGCTGTCGCTGGGCAACACGGACTTTCAACTCCCTCCAAAGATTTTCTATGGGGTTGAGATCTGGAGACTGGCTAGGCCACTCCAGGACCTTGAAATGCTTCTTGCGAAGCCACTCCTTCGTTGCCCGGGCAGTGTGTTTGGGATCATTGTCATGCTGAAAGACCCAGCCACGTTTCATCTTCAATGCCCTTGCTGATGGAAGGAGGTTTTCACTCAAAATCTCACGATACATGGCCCCATTCATTCTTTCCTTTACACAGATCAGTCGTCCTGGTCCCTTTGCAGAAAAACAGCCCCAAAGCATGATGTTTCCACCCCCATGCTTCACAGTAGGTACGGTGTTCTTTGGATGCAACTCAGCATTCTTTGTCCTCCAAACACGACGAGTTGAGTTTTTACTAAAAAGTTATTTTTTGGTTTCATCTGACCGTATGACATTCTCCCAATCCTCTTCTGGATCAACCAAATGCACTCTAGCAAACTTCAGACGGGCCTGGACATGTACTGGCTTAAGCAGGGGGACACGTCTGGCACTGCAGGATTTGAGTCCCTGGCGGCGTAGTGTTTTACTGATGGTAGGCTTTGTTACTTTGGTCCCAGCTCTCTGCAGGTCATTCACTAGGTCCCCCCGTGTGGTTCTGGGATTTTTGCTCACCGTTCTTGTGATCATTCTGACCCCACGGGGTGAGATCTTGTGTGGAGCCCCAGATCGAGGGAGATTATCAGTGGTCTTGTATGTCTTCCATTTCCTAATAATTGCTCCCACAGTTGATTTCTTCAAACCAAGCTGCTTACCTATTGCAGATTCAGTCTTCCCAGCCTGGTGCAGGTCTACAATTTTGTTTCTGGTGTCCTTTGACAGCTCTTTGGTCTTGGCCATAGTGGAGTTTGGAGTGTGACTGTTTGAGGTTGTGGACAGGTGTATTTTATACTGATAACCAGTTCAAACAGGTGCCATTAATACAGGTAACGAGTGGAGGACAGAGGAGCCTCTTAAAGAAGATGTTACAAGTCTGTGAGAGCCAGAAATCTTGCTTGTTTGTAGGTGACCAAATACTTATTTTCCACCATAATTTGCAAATAAATTCATAAAAACTCCTACAATGTGATTTTCTGGAATTTATTTTCTCATTTTGTCTGTCATAGTTGACGTGTACCTATGATGAAAATTACAGGCCTCTCTCATCTTTTTAAGCGGGAGAACTTGCACAATTGGTGGCTGACTAAATACTTTTTTTCCCCACTGTATATACTTTTGTACCTGTTTCCTCCAGCATCTTCACAAGGTCCTTTTCTGTTGTTCTTGGATTAATTTGCAAAGTACGTTCATCTCTAGGAGACAGAACGCGTCTCCTTCCTGAGCGGTATGATGGCTGCGTGGTCCCATGGTGTATATACTTGCATACTATTGTTTGTACAGATGAACGTGGTACCTTCAGGCATTTGGAAATTGCTCCCAAGGATGAACCAGACTTGTGGAGGTCTACAATTATTTTTCAGAGGTCTTGGCTGATTTCTTTAGATTTTCCCATGATGTCAAGCAAAGAGGCACTGAGTTTGAAGGTAGACCTTGAAATACATCCTAAGGTACACCTCCAATTGACTCAAATGATGTCAATTAGCCGATCAGAAGCTTCTAAAGCCAATACATAATTGTCAGGATTTTTCCAAGCTGTTTAAAGGCACAGTCAACTTAGTGTATGTAAACTTCTGACCCACTGGAATTGTGAGACAGTGAATTATAAGTGAAATAATCTGTCTGTAAACAATTGTTGGAAAAATTACTTTTGTCATGCACAAAGTAGAAGTCCTAACTGACTTGCCAAAACTATAGTTTGTTAACAATACATTTGTGGAGTGGCTGAAAAACAAGTTTTAATGACTCCAACTTAAGTTTATGTAAATTCCGACTTCAACTGTTGCTTCCGCTGTAGCCTATGTTTTCCAGGGGAGAATAAATTAAATGAATTCAAAAAATGAACAAAGAGTATTTACGATGCCAGCGTTTTCTTTAGCCATGGTCGGCAGAAGTAATATGCTCATACCCCGCTCTCACTTTGTTCGTCACTATCAAATACACCGGACCTACACCTCAGGTTTCCCGCCCTGTCTCACATGCGCAGCCCCTCAGACAAGCTAATACCAAAGCCTCTTTCAGATAATAACACATGTAATATAGATGATAATAATAATTATATAATGATCAATAATACTATAGATACTTGCTGCGACTACTATAGGAAAAGAGGATAAGAGATTGAGTGGTAAAAATGACTTCATATGAAGCAGACAATGCAGTCTTAACCTTTTTACACGTGCCAATAAACTGGTGTGATCATTCTACAGTGGACCCTGCAGCGTACGCTCAAACCGGTGTGATTAGAATGCTTATTTAGAACGTCCAGATTCGATTGACGCAACAGTCAGCATTTGAGCTAGCCACACTGTTTTTTCACAAAAACATGTTGCACAAACACAGTCCTTACGAAGTTATTTTTGGATGCAATGTTCAGACATTCACAGAAGTAGTGACAGCATACAAAATCATCCAAACCGGAAAATGTAGGCCTGTAGTTCTACTGTATCCTACAGTAGAAACAACAACATGATATACAGAAAATAAGGCAGTTACTTTGATACACACATGTCCAAAGTTATTATTTGTAAGGAAAACAACAATGAAGGCAATGCGAGAGCCAGCCAGAAAATGTGCCAGTTCGTGCAAGACTGCGCAAATGTCTGCATACTTGATCTGCGTTTGAGCAAGGAGGATTGCATTTGAAAGGTTTGAACAGGGCCTTTATGAATCATAGTATCTGAGAAAGGAAACAAGAAAGGATGCATTTGAAATGTTTGAACTTGAACAGGGTCTATAAGGAGTGATAGTATCTGACCTCTGCCCCCTGTAGACGATGGCGGACCGAGTGGTGCTAAAGGACATCCTTCCCCACAGGTGGTACCAGTTTAGGGTGAGCGCCATCAACAGCCAGGGCACCCGCGGCTTCACCACCCCCAGCAAACACTTCTTCTCAAACAGAGGTAAGGGGACGGAGTATCTCTATCACTCATAGTACCTTTCAACAGACTCTTCCTGTCTACAATGTATCTCTTCACTAAGTTTTGTCAAGCCTAACCTCTACCTCCTTCTCATAAAGTATGAATGTTGCATCTCCACTATGACTGATTTCCGTGATTTATTGAAAGTGCTTATCCCAGTGAATTCTGTTACAACGTTCACACACGCACACACAAGCACGCACAAACACTGCAAACACACACAGTACTCAGTCTTTGTGTGATCTGGGCTGCGCTGCCTGTCAGATGTTCTACGTGTTTTGAAGCGTTGAGAGGGATGTTCTGTTCTGTCAGAAATTAACCTTTTCCACAGCTGCAGTAAACAAAGGTTTCAGAGCACAGGAGGAGGTCGGGCAGCTCAGTCTTGTCTTGGCTGTCCTCTATACAGAATATGAGATGTTAGCCCAGGTCAGCAGACAGGAGGAACTTTATTTATTCAGAGATTAATCCCTCTCGTCTCTGATGTTTTGGAGGACAGGGCGTTCCTAATGCCAGACTGCAGGGAGGCGTTTGCCTGTTTGTGTATGTGCGTGTGTGCGTGTGAGTGTGTATGCTTGCGCGTGTATGCCTGCATTGTGTGTGTGTGTGTGTGCCTGTATTTGCTGATTGACATGTTTTACATCCACACCCACTCTCCCTCTGAAGGAGCCCAAAAATGGAATGGTTAGCAGACTGAGGTAATAGGAATCCAATGCCAGGAATGGCTCCAGTCAAACTCCTTTATTTGAGTAATTACCCATGTTTGGAGTGAGTTCATGAGGGGAAAAGACAAATACGCTATCTGGGCTGTCCTTGGCTCGTGGGCTTAGTGCTAGTCAGACGTGTCCACCACTCAGCAGCACGCTGTCACACACTCTGAGATAAGTGTAGTAGGGCCGGATAATGTTAGGCTGCAGGCCAATAAGTCCTAACTTAACTGCTGTTGTTGGAGTGTTTCTCCTTTCTTTACCTCATACAGTCAGGAATGGAGGGACCTATATTGTCACTAGTATTGAGTATCCAAACTACAAACACAAAGACACATTATTTTTATAGTAGGCCCCTCTAGTATTGTAAAACAATTGTGTTTTGAGATTTTTTTGATACTCAGAGTTCAACACCTAATAAAGGTACAAAACAAACAGTGGAACAAAAACGGGGGATACAAAAGACTGCCGCTCGCCTCTGAGATTACAACCACAGTCATACCCACACTGTTTCCCCATAGATCCCTACTCCCCTGTCAGTCAGAGAGACAGGTCCTGACTGATGTACACAGGGGGTCTTTCTGAAAACAAACACACACACGAAGACACAGACTCTCTCAGTAGGGACAGAACCCTCCTTATTTCTCCTCTCTGTATTGCGTGTCACCGCATATTCTCCCAGTTCATAAAATGTTGGTTAGGCAGGGCCAGAATCAAAGCTACTCCATATCAAAGCTATATGGCCCTAACATTGTACCCCAGACCTGTGGATTAGAATAACATCTCTGTATGTGGGAATTGCATTCTTAATGAGAGACAGAGCTAGACTTGTAGTTTAATGAGAGACAGAGGTATGTTTCAAGGTAATATACCCTAATGTAGCCAGAGGCTTTTGTTGAAGTTACTCTACAATTCAATTATGACTTGTAAACAGCCAGATCCAATGTCATTTTCATGCTTTGATTATCTGAACAAAGAGCTGAGAAATTGAATGAAAGTGACGGCAACTATAGCAGTTGACCATTTATTAAAGGTGTACCTGCAGCATTAGAGTTCAACCCCATGTTAATTACTGTCATTACACACACACACACACACACACACACACACACACACACACACACACACACACACACACACACACATGCACACACACCTCAAAATCACACTCTTCTCCTTTACAAAACCCTCTCTCAGGTATAGTATATTGCCTCCTTACAACCCCCCCTTAAACTTTGCAAATGTATTTCCCAAAAGTATGTTTGGTAAATTCACAGCTAAGCATTCTTCTTTCATTTCAAAGTGTCTGGAGGTTTATTTATCTGGGTTCACCTTCCCTCTCCGTGGAACATTAGCTGGGAGGAATCTCCTGCCTCAGCACGACACACAGGCAGCGTCTTACACCTCACTGTTTCTGTCATTCAGATTCATTTAAGTGCACACACACACACACAAACACACACACATACACACAAATTTCAGCTCATTTATTATACATTCTCACACCTAACCGTCACACTGGGAATGGACTGTACGTGTGTATTGTGTAACCTTGCTGAGTTTTGCTGAGCTATTCACACACGGTTGCTTTCAGAGGCACATTAGGGGAGTGTAATAAGTGAGTGTTAGACTTGACAGAGGGTGATAAAGTGTGGTAGAATATGTTCAAGCGAATCAAGACCATGTCGGTCGAAGCGTTGGTACTGCATCACTAGCTTCAATAAAAAATCACATTTGGGGGCAGCAAATTATTCCTTTTCATTGCTCTCTTTTCTTTGTACAAGTACAGTAATTGCTATATTTTCACAATATGCTAACCTCACCTTCACCTCTTCTGTCGTGATACTCCACAAGCTCGTGAACGTTAAAGGATAATGATGAAGAATACTAACCCCATCCTTCATCTCTCTTCCCCAAGACCCCTTCCCCCCGGAGACCCCCCAGAGTGTGCGTGTTGGGAACGAGACCCAGGGGACGGACGGCAGCAATGTGGGGGTACAGGTCCTCTGGGACGCTCCCAGAGAGAGAGACCTGCCTGTTCACCACTACAAAGTCACCTGGAGCCCCCGTCACGCCCCTCGCCCCTCCGCACAGGACAGGAAGGACAATGCCCGGGTCACTCATGGGGTAAGAGACTAACTACAAATTATTTTAAATCAACAAACTTTACATAAGGTAGCACTACTAAACTATCCAAGCTCACTCAACTCAGTAACCCTTGCCTGCAAAACAGTTCACTCAAATCTACTGTAACTCCATATCCCGATGTGTGGCTGTACAGTAGTCACACTGCTCGGACGATGTGAGAGTGTATGTTGTCTCTTGTTTGCGCAGACGTCTTGCAGGTGCCTTCTATACGTACAGTCGTGGCCAAAAATATTGGCACCCTTGCACTTTTTTCAAATAATGCACCATTTCTTCCAGAAAACTGTTCAAATCAAAAATTATTTTGTTATCTACATATGAATTTCTTTGGTTTGCAGTTGAACAAAACAAAAAAATCTGAATAATTGACTAAATGTTAGTTTATTACACAAAGAAATTCTAAAATGGCCCAGACAATATTATTGGCACTTCTAGAAGTAGTTAGAAATAATCGGATTTCAAGCAGGTGATTCTCCTTTACATTGAAATTGAACTTTATTTTGCAGGTGCCTGCAATATAAAAATCCCAAATTCAACCAGTTTGAATAGAAAAAAGGACTCATTCTCCTGTTTTTGTGTCACTGTGTGTACCGCAATGAGCATGGAGAAAATAAAGAAAACCAGATAATTATCTGAGGTCAGACGCAAGATCTCAAGGCTACAAGTCTATCTCCAGAGACGTTGATGTTCCTGTTTCCACCGTACGTAATGTTATCAAGAAGTTTAAGGCCCATGCCACTGTAGCCAACCTCCCTGGACGTGGCCGCAAAAGAAAACTTGATGGAAGACTGCAGCGAAGAATTGTTCAAATTGTGGAGAAAGCACCTTGATCAAATGCCACACAGATTTAAGCTGACCTTCAGACACAAGGTACGACAGTTTTAACTTGCACCATCCAACACCAACTCAATGAAAGGGGGTTATATGGTAGGAGACCCAGGAGGACCCCACTGCTGAGAGAGAGACGTAAGAAAGCCCGACTGCAATTTTCCAAAACACACCTGAACATGCCAAAATCCTTCTGGGAGAATGTCCTGTGGACACACGAGACCGAATTAGAGCTCACCATCTCTATGTTTACTGAAAATAAAATGAAGCCTTCAAATAAAATAACACCTTCCCTACAGTCAAACATGGAGGAGGTTCAGTGATGTTTTGAAGTTGCTTTGCTGCCTCTGACACTGGGTGCCTTGAACGTGTGCATGACATCATGAAATCAGGAGAATACCAAGGCATTTTGGAGTGCAATGTCGGACCCAGTGTCAGAAAGCTGGGTCTCCATCGAATGTCATGGGTCTTCCAGCAGAACAATGACCCCAAACACACTTCAAAAAGCACCCAGGAATGGTTCAAGATAAAACGCTGGACTGTTCTGAAGTGTCCAGCAATGAGTCCAGATCTAAATCCCATTGAAAACTTGTGAAGAGATCTGAAAACAGCAGTTGGGAGAAGGCACCCTTCAATTCAAGAGGAGTGGGTCAAACTGTCAGTACAGAGGTGCAGGAAGTTCATCGATGGCTATAGGAAGCGCTTGATTGCAGTTAATTTGACCAAAAGCTGTGCTACCAAAAATTAAGTCTATTGTGTCAATTTTGTCGTTGCCATTTCTGTTTATTTTCTGATTTAAATTGATATATTAAGTTCTGAATCAAAACCAAAGGTTCTGTAATATTAACAGTGAAATAAAGAATTGCAGAGACGAAATACTTTGGTCAATTTCAACTTATTTTTAGGGAAAATTGTGAGTAACTTGAAAAAAGTGCAAGGGTGCCAATATTTTTAACCACGACTGTACAAACCTACACACGTAGCAGTAGCAGCACCTGGACTTAATAAAGTGCTCTCCTCTGGAGTTAATTCTCTACAAAAACTTGGAGAACAAAAGCAGCAGCTGCGTGTTTTATTATAACTTAACCGTTCTCCCGTAAATCAACAGCTCTTGCATGGTTTTTATTACCATATTTGTTTTTACTATAACACCGACTTCTGGTATGAGGTAGCGTTCCATTTCACAGAACATTCTCAGGTAAAGAGCTACTTTTTGCACATGGCAGGTGAACCAAAAACATGTCAAATTAATGGAGTTTCATTGCGTTACAAATTGTGTTATAATTCGACTCCGATAACTCTTGTCAAATAACCCGGAGAGATTTTGAAAATACATCATATATACTGTATGTGAAACGTGATACGAATGATGTCTTGACCTCAATTTTGCCCTTTATTGATTAACATAAATATGCTGACTTCGTTTAGATACCAAGCACTATGACCAAGGCTTTGTCAAGGCTATTAGGCTTTAAGTCTGTGTTTCACATAAATCACATGACAGCGCAGCAGTCGTTGAAGAGCTGTAGAAGAAGGAAAAAGATGTCGAGGGTCACTTCATGAACACTAACAGTGCTTAACGGCCATTAACTAATGGCAATGGTAGTCAATGGAAATCACTTGTTTTAGTCCAGTCCAGAGCTCTATAATATGGTGAGTGAGTGGCCTGTTCAGGGTGTATGGAGCCAAGGCCATGGCCTTGGTGGGTTTGCAGGAGTAATAAAGGAACGGGCTGGACCATTTTAAAGAGCCCTAATCCCTCTGATCCCTTCTCCTGATGGAGATGGCAGTCCGGCCCTGCTTTGGGACACGGTCAGGAATTTTTACAAGGGATCCCAACGAATGCGTTCCCATCGAGAGCACAGGCAGCTGCGTCATGCGCCACACACTCATATACACACACACACACACACATACTGTATATACACACATATACATGTACAAATACAAACATATGCATGCACCCATACATTTCTACTCCCACATCACCCACCCATATTGATAGTCACTCATTTCACTCACGTACTTCCTTAACACTATCACTGTCATACTGTAGGCCTACATATACAGTATGAACCAGACTTTGTCTATAAGGCCGTTGATGGCAGTCCCAAGCAGATTACCTGCCTTCGCCTTGCTTTAATCCACTTGTTTTGTCTGTAGTGAATGTCCATGCGTTGCTGTTGCAGAGGTAGAACGCTTCTAGCAATGGCAAATCATAACATGTCCAAGGTTGTGACATTACAGACCAACACAAATCACAATCCCCCTGTGTCTTTTCACACACACAAGGATGCACATGCACAGGCACATTAACACACACGCATGCACCCACACACATACACACCACACACATATACACACACGACTGTAAAGCATGTGTTTTGGCTATCTGTACGGCTATGGAAATAATGAATCCCACTTTTTCCATACACGTCAGAGAAGGGAATCTAAAAGCAACAGGCTTTTAAATCTCAGTATTGCATTAGTATCCATTATTATCTATCTGTCTATCATGTTAGTCAGGACCACTTGAAACCTTATTTTGATGTAATGGAAAACAGCTCTGTGTGCGTGCACGCGTGCGCACGTACATATGTGTAAAGATGATCAATCAGGATGCGAGAGGAGTCAGAGAGTGCTTCTAGCGTTCACTCAAAACGGTAATATGAGCTGGCCAAAACACTGCCAGACCACAGATAATGGATATATATGTATCTCTCTCATTAAAAGACGTATGTCATCAGAAACAAACAGATTTTAGCTGCTCTCGTGGCCTGTGAAGGTTATTCTCACTTAACAGTCATGCTTCCATACCTGGCTAACCTTCATCAGTCAAACTGGCCACATAAAACACTTACTGGCAACATTTATAACTGTGTTGAGTGGAGAGCTAAAGTATGCTGTGATCCAATCATATAATTAGAATGGATTCTAATGCCATGGTTGTGGTTCCAATACTGTTAAACAGCTTCCTTCCTCTCTTCATATCCTTCATGGCCACTGGTGCAAAAATATTTATTCTCAAATCAAGGTAATTCATATAAATGTACTGTCGTAGTAAGTTTACCAACGCTTCTGAAGATCGATTAAGAAATTCATAGACTTTAGATTGATTTCAGCTATGTATCATCAGTGCTGTGTGACAAGACATATAGAGAGTTTATGGACAGAATTTGTTTGAAAAGATGACAGCAATTGTGTGTTTAATTGAAAACCTTGAATGTCTGTTCGTCTCAGTGGTCATGAAATACAGGAGATACAGTATTTGAGGCTAATCAATTATATATATTTGCCAGGCTATCCCTGTCAACTGACACTGTATTGCCTGTCCATCTCTCAAGCTATTGTTGATTGCTTGTTGATTGCTTGCAGTCACAAAAAAAAAAATGTATGCACGCATGACTGTAAGTCGCTTTGGATAAAAGCGTCTGCTAAATGGCATATTATTATTATTATATTACTGTGTATTATCTATGTCTCTGTCAGGCTCTGTGGTGACTGTGTTGACTGTGCTGCCCCTGTCAGTGGCTGTGACTATAATGACTGTGTTTTGTCTGTGTATTATCTGTGTCTCTGTCAGGCTGTGTGTGAGATGGATCTCCAGGGTCTGCTGCCAGGTACCTCCTACCTGATCCAGGTCCAGGCCATCTCCTACTGGGGACAGAAACGCCTGAAGAGTAGCCGTGCCCAGCTCACCTTTACCACTCAAACTACAGGTAAACTACTCTCCCTTACCACTCAAACTACAGGTAAACTACTCACCTATACAAATCACAGGTAAATAAACATTTACTACACAGACTACAGGTACATTACTATACCAGAGAAAGGTAAACTCATGTTGGATATCACAGCATAGGTACAAAAGAGAACTGGATAATCTCTACACTGCAATCTAACCACAGGGTTCATATAGTCTACCTTCCAAACAGTGGCTCTGGGTGTCGACGCCTACCCTGACCTGGCTGCTTCCCTCTGAGGGCTAGGCTGAAAGACATTACCCTCTTCCTCAGAAGCTAGGGCCTGGCTTGTATCAGTCCTGTTGATCAGAGCTTATCAACGTCCCAATGGTTGTGAGGTCATCAATAGGAGGGGCCTGGGGACCCCTCCCAGAGAGCACCATTTAACCTTTAGCCTGACCTTTCAGTTGGGCGTACACACACATACATACGCATGCACCTGTAAAGTACGTCACACTGCTTGCTTAGCGAGTACCACTTCCTCCTGTTTCGGCTCACACCGAGGCTCAAACCCAGGACCTTGCTAGCACACGTTACAGCCCTCCTGAAGCTTCTTACCAGTCGGCGCCACCTGAAAAGCTAGCTATTCGGCGGCGCAAGTGGCGACACTTCAGGCTGAGGAGTAAGTTTCACACATCCCCATGTGCTACACACGCATGCACACACACACACGCACACATGTGCACACACACACACCAGCATCCGCCACATTCTGTGGGTTTCTCTCCTGTTGTTGTTTCTGTTCTTAATTAGGTTGCATAAATCCTCACCCCAAATTCTGGCAGAAGCATTTCGAGATGCACACACACGCACACACACGCATGGAAACGCATGCAGGCACACATGCACACACATATCATGGGGGCATTGGTTGAACCCTCACAGCTTTCTGTTGGTTTTGGTCAGTCCCACATGGACTCTCAATGGCAGGCTTAATTATCCTGCTAGCCCAATCCATTTTTCATAAAGTAGCTAAAACATGTTTGTTATTTTCCTATGGCCCAATTAATATAATTTTTCTTGTAAGTCAGCTCCTTTTTTATAAGTCTTACATTTTTTCATTCATTTTTATCAGCACCTGGTGTTCCCCTCATGTGGCCTTTAAAACGCAACTTGGATTGTAAAAATCCCACTTCATGGATATACCTTGCCTTTACGTGCTATACGCTGGCAATAAGGCTCTTTGAATGGCAGTTCAGGCAGCATAAATATTTATAGAAAAGTGGTTGACCTGTGTAGGAGGAATGGTGCTTTACTTCTGTGCTGAGGAATGGTCCTTTACTTGTACAATAGGGGACAGGAGGAAAATGCATTGAGTTTTCAGCACTAAACGTTTAAGGCTGAGTGTGTTTTCCTAGTTTGGACACTATGGACAGACAGCATTAAGGCCATTTCTGATGGTACTAATTCATGTGTTGTTTGTATAACATACGCTGTCATCAAATGTAATATGATGTCATGTTTTAAGTTATACACAATCTTCATCCTGACTGTATTTCATATAGTGCTAAAGGGGCAAAAATAGTTGGTTTTTTAGTATTAGGGTACATATTGCAATGTTCTAACTGGTGTGAAGCAACATATTCTGCCCTCTTTCAATTCAGAGATCTTGTGCCAAATGAAACTGCATCTCTCTCTTCCCTCTCTCTTCTTCTTCTTCTCTCTCCCCTCTCTCTCTCCTCCCCCTTTCTCTCCCCTCCCCTCTCTCTCCCCCTTCCCTTTCTCTCCGCCTTCCCTTCCATTTCTCTCGTCTCTCTCTCTCTCTCTCTCTCTCTCTCTCTCTCGTCTCTCTCTCTCTCTCGTCTCTCTCTCTCTCGTCTCTCTCTCTCTCTCTCTCTCTCTCTCTCTCCCTAAATCAGCTTTGTCATCTCTACCTGCCCCACCAGGTCCTGTGCAGACTAAAGGAGAGTTCTCCAACGAGCTCCCCTCCGCCCCCCACCTCATCAACCCTGCTGCCTCCGAACCTGCCCCCCACCTCGCTACCCCACACAACCTGCACCTGGAAGCCGCTGCCCCCCACTACCACAATGACCAGCTGCAGGTCAAGGTCTTTTGGAAGAGATGGCACCAGGGCAAGTTATACAACAACAACAAAAAAGACAACAAGACGTTACACCCCTCCTAATCTCCTTGTTGATATTACAGCCACAGGAATCCCACAGAATGGGTCATGGGAAGGTTGGGAAACAGGCAGCACCCGTTACTCCTTTATGGTTTGGGTTCTTTCCCACAGTCACTAGGTCAGTTAGTTACTTAGTTAAGTGGGGTTCCAGGATGTCTCTCACATCTGCCCTTTCCCAGTCTGACAATTTTAAAGTGATACAGATGTAGGATCTTAATTTGATCACTGTTTTGTTGCTGAACATTTTCATGCGCAGCTGGAAATGCAAACTTGTAGTGTATTTGAGTTTTAAAAAGGCTTCTAAAGTTTGTAATATCCACTGAAATTTCAGACTTGATTTGCCCTAAAGAAAAATGTATCAACCCCTACAAAAATGCCCATTAATAATAATCCACATAATTCACATTTCCTTTTGCTGCAGGATTATTTTCCTGCTGTAGCAAACTGGCTCAAATTAAAGATACTACATCTGTAGTGCAATCATATGTGTTGTCATAACAGTCATATGTGTTGTTATACCAACTACTTGTGTCTTTAGAATAGAGGCACCACTGTAGCAGCTGAGTGAACTGACTCCCAGTAGAGGTGTGAGAAGCCATCCAGGGAAACCACAAACCCCCCCCCCCACACACTACACAGACATCCAGAGCCAGAGACATTGCTGTGTGCTTGTTCATCTTTGAGTGTTTCCAATAAACACTGTTTTTCACAAAGCCCATTTCAAATATGCTCCATAAGCAACATCTTAGAATAGTGTGTTTGGCAAGGTGATGGCAGGCGTTGTGCTTCATAAATAAGAGGTGGTGATTGGACATTATCTGCCTGCGAGAGAATAAGAGGAACATGAGGACAAATTTAATAACATTAATATGGGAATATAACGGGGAGCAGATGTGTGTGTGAGAGAGAGAGAGATAGAGAGCAAGAGACAAAGGGAGCAAGAGAAAGAAAGATAGAGAGATCATTGTTGTCTGGGGTTCAACCTGGAGATCATGGGGAGATGGATCTGATGAAAGAAGGAAGCGATGGAGAGAGAGGCTATACAACAGGCTACTCACGCTCCGTATCTGATTCAGAAACCCTGGTTCGAGACTGTAATAACACTCAAAACTGACATTGGGTCTTTGCTCTACTGGTGTTTGTACTACAACAGCCAATATGTTTCTCTATAGGCCTACATGACCTTATTATATAGCACCACAAAACATAACACTGTATCCACCTTCTGTTGTGCTACAGAAACCCCTAAGGACTTCACTACATACGTACTGAGGTGGTATCCTCATGTGTGTGCCAGCAACATCACCAAGACAGAGAAAAAAGCCACTGTGCAGGTAAGTTTCAGAGCCAGCCACAGATTTTAACAGCATTTCCACAACTCCGTTAGGCCAGATGGCTCTTGGCTGATATTGTGAAAGATTCCAATACTGTTTTATATTGAATTGTTACCGCCGTTTTGAAGGAGGCCAATGGGGTTTACCTTGGAATTGTAACTGCTGGTCTCAGTGATATGCTACGTTATATCCCTCAGCTTCTCCACAGTGTGTGACTATTGGATTAGTCATATAATGAATAAACTCTCCCTCCGCTGGAGTGGACTTTTAGTATCATGGACACAAGCTTTAACATGGTTTGCCACACATCTAGAACTGTTTAGGCTCTGGTGAATCAGGACAATGTTTTCCCAAAAGGTAGAGACTGAGTTGGGACCCAATGGTGGGTTGTGACTGATTCCATCTGGTAGGTGATGACTAGATTGTATACAGTTAGCGAGAGACATTGGTTTGGTTTATTGGGTGAATAATCAAGAAGCTTTTTATAAGCTTTTGATGGGTCACAGCAGAAAAACAGTTTGGGAACCACTGATTGAGATTGAGAGCATATGAGCCACCTAGAAATGATATGACTCCAATGGATTTGACTGGAGTCCTATTCCCTCTAGTAGTTACCCTGGGTGTGTGTGTTTGGGGTTTGGAGGGTTTGGACTTCAGCAATAGAACCAGCCAGAGACCCAGAGGACCTTGCTGCTGTTGTTTAATAGACAGAGGAATGTGACTGGCTGGCCAGTTCTGTTTGCTCCTGCCCCCATCCATCAGGACAGAACAGTTTAGGGTTTAGATTACAACCTCAACCACATTTTAATCTATATCCAACACTCATAGGTCCCAGTCCTGCACCACAGGGATTACGATGCATAGAGAGTAGTGAGGTGTTGTCTGATATGGATGAGAGAGAGAAAAGGGTCTGGTGTTGGTGTCACAGAGTCAAGTATGTAATTTAATGCCTTATAGGACCAGTCCAACTCTGACTTAGACCCAGCCTAGTCATTTCAGCCAGCCCACCCCAGAACAGAACATGTTTCTCCATGGTTTCAGTTGGGTTGTGACTCAGATAACATTATTAGAGACATTTTAGTCATGCATAATGTTCCAGAAAAGTTATCCTTCTAGGGGAACTCATTCTAGGTGTTGGCAACTACCACCACTAAATTATTTATGTACTGTGTTCTGTACTGTGCCAATGTACCACTCTAGCAGGGAGGGCATCGGGAACAAATAGCATTAAACCATTGATTCTCTGGGCTCAAGGCCAGAGAGAACTGTAACAATTCCTCTTATCTCACAGCATCTCAGAGAGAGAGAGAGAGAGCGAGAGAGAGAGAGAGAGAGAGAGAGACCATATCTGCTAACTCTGTCTCTGCGCCACATATTGCTTCATACTGAGATCAGACTCTTATTGAGTGTAGCCTATCTTCTTCATCTTCATAAAAACGAGCCGAAGCAGATCTGCGACAGAAAGCAGTGCGGCTGCCAAGACCAGAGAAGCGAGGATCTGTAGCTAGCTATCTCCCACTGCATCTGTCATTTGGCCTGGCTGGGCGCTGTGTGTGTGTAATGGAACTGTGTGAGAAGTATGACCCGTCGCTTTACGAGAGAGGCTAGAGAGATCGCATATCGCAGCGTAGCGCACAGCTTTCATCGTCATAACTATTTTATTTATCATCCTTTTGTTCCTGTCTGTTTGCCTTTTACATTCTTCCCTCATTTGAGACTAGAGTTGGTTGGCTGGCTGGCTGGTGAAGAGTTGTTCAGCTTTTTCTCTCTCTCTGCTACTGTCTTTCTCTCTCTCTCTCTCTCTCTCTCTCTCTCTCTCTCTCTCTCTCTCTCTCTCTCTCACACACACACACTTCTCGCCTCTATGCTGTGTTGATTGATGATGTCTCCCTGTTCTTCTTTCCCCCTCTCATCTTCACTTTTCTTCTCTCCTCACCTCTCCCCTGCTCTCTTCTTTCTCCTCTCCTCTCCTCTCCTCTCCTCTCCTCTCCTCTCCTCTCCTCTCCTCTCCTCTCCTCTCCTCTCCTCTCCTCTCCTCTCCTCTCCTCTCCTCTCCTCTCCTCTCCTCTCCTCTCCTCTCCTCTCCTCTCCTCTCCTCTCCTCTCCTCTCCTCTCCTCTCCTCTCCTCTCAGGGAACACATTATGTTATCACAGGGCTGCTGTTCGCCTGTAAGTACTGGATCGCTGTGGCGCCCGTAGCATCAGAGGGGGATCAGAGGTCAGAAGCTTTTACCGTGGTAACAACCCCACCTTGGTGTGCGGTCAGGGCGAGAGGGGGCAAGGCCGTGCCCTGTGCCAGAGAAGGTATGGCCAGCTCCACACATGCCCTAACACACACACACACACAGCATGGAGCAAGTGAATATCTGACAGACTGATTGAATATCATCAGGAGTGTGAAAGCACTGTTTATGCAAAGGTTCTTCCTCTCAATGAGAATCATATACGTTGTATCGATGATTCTAGGACCTCTGGAATATTTAGGTCCTTTCTTTTGTACTAACTGTATATTGATTATGGGTCCAAATTATTATTAAGTAAGGATGTCTAAATGTGTGTTTCCCTGTGTCAGAGCGCCCCCTCGTGTCCAGGAAGGTGGTACTGCGTCCTAAGAAGCTGTCAGCAGAGTTCCACACGGTCAACGGCTCCCTGCAGGGCCTGTTCCGCTGGCATCTCTCCCATACTGCACCGGGGCAGACGCCCATTGCAGGGTTCCAGTTCTCCTGGGTCCAGGTGTCCTCCAGCGCCATGGCAACAGAGGAACAGGACACCCTCATCTCTCAGACACGGATAGTGGCCCCGGTGAGACCCTGTGTGTGTGTGTGTGTGTGTGTGTGTGTGTGTGTGGTTGTGTGCTATCTTCTCTGACTGCAAGCTATCCATATACTTCCCTCCCTGTGTACTCATGTTCTGCTGCTCTCCCTCCCCTAGGACCAGCACTCTTTGACAGTGGAGGGGCTGCAGCCAGACAGTGTGTACAAGCTGCAGGTCCAGGTGCTGTCAGCAAGGGTCAATGGCCCCTCAGTGGCCCGGACGCTTCACACACCTTCCCTCAACGCCACTCTGCAATGAGGTACTGCTTCAGGACCTAACATCTCACACACTCACAAGACAAACTACTCACTGACATAATAACCAATTCCTTAACAGCCAATTTCTACTGAGTCAAAAAATAAATTAAACAAACCCCCCTGTCAACTGGCTCCATGACCCCTGCTAGAGAGAGAGAGAGAGAGAGAGAGAGAGAGAGAGAGAGAGAGAGAGAGAGAGAGAGAGAGAGAGAGAGAGAGAGAGAGAGAGAGAGAGAGAGAGAGAGAGAGAGAGAGAGAGAGAGAGAGAGAGAGAGAGAGAGTGTGTGTGTGCGTGTCGTGTTAGTAACCCATAAGAGTGTGTGAGATAGAAAAGCTCGCTCTTCTAGGGTTGGGTTATTTCGCTCTTCTAGGTTGGGTTATTTATTTAATTTAAACCTGGCGAGAGTTGTGGAACAGGAACACAGAGTTAGTTCCATAGAGAAAAAGAGACTCCCAGAGACACTACCTGGTATGGTGCTGCAGTGTTCCATAATTCCCATTCAGAATGGACACTTGGAGGACAGTGGGAGCACTAGGAGAGGGAGCCAGAGAGGGAGAATCAAAGCTTTGGTACCTCAACAGAAAGAGCCTGCGTTTGTCCAATTTTGAACGACGATGGAGGTCTCCCATCTCTGTGCAACTTCTAACTAATCACAAATTAAAATGGAATCTACTAAGATTGTCCTTTTATCAGGCCATAAGTCTTTATTTGGTGCACTCCTTTTAGCCACAGCCTTATGTCTTGCAGCTTTGGCCAAGCGTAGGGCTTTACATAGAGAACAGGGAGTAATTTGAGAAATGTACCGTATCGGATTTTTGTGAGAGTTTTTGGTTTGATTTGCATTAATGACACAGGTTGTTTATATCAAATATAACCTCTGCCTGATCCCACCAATCACCATCCTCTCTCTGTTTTTCAGGTTCCTCCCCCCAGCGTGCTTCATGCTCTGCCTGATCCCACCAATCACCATCCTCTCTCTGTTTTTTAGGTTCCTCCCCCGAGCTCTTCATCACCATCGCAGTCGCGCGTATTGAGAACATATCGCCACAGCCTGTCTGTTTACACACACACGCAAGCACGCAATCCCAGTCTCTGTTTTGTCTTTATCACACAGATATATTGCATGATGGACATCACCTTCACCTGAAAGATCAAGTAAATCTATACCAAGTCTGGCCATTAAAGTTACAATACATGTATGTTCAATGTTTAGAGATGATAGTTTTCATGTATAATGTAATCATATTAGTATTTTTTTTTACACAAGTACTGAATTGTGTCATACAAGTAAAATTTCCCTGCATAAAGCAGTTTGTAATCTGTTGTAGTGTAGGATTTTTGTAATCCTATGCCATAAATTATTTCAAGCGTAGATAACCCCAGTGACTGATATATGTAACCCTCTGATATATCTTCTTGTTCCAGTGTTATTTATTGTAATGTAATTAAAGAGTATTATAATGGTCCTCTGTAGCTCAGCTGGTAGAGCACGGCGCTTGTAACGCCAAGGTAGTGGGTTCGATCCCCGGGACCACCCATACACAAAAAAATGTATGCACGCATGACTGTAAGTCGCTTTGGATAAAAGCGTCTGCTAAATGGCATATTATTATATTATATTATTATATATTATATAATATGTGGTGTTTTCATGACCTGTGGCTAATTCAAGAGGGTACACTGTTACAGAATGTTTAGATATACTTATGTTATGTAGAACAGACATTGTTGTTCGTCATGGTACATTTACAATCATGTCAGCTCTATGCATTGCATTTCTATCTGCAACGTTCCAAATGTTTCACCCTTCTGAACACAATCACCATCCTGGTAAATATGTTTGTGTCCATGTGTGAAAGGGATGGGGAAGGTTTGCCAAATATAAGATTAAACTTAAGCTTTAGTAGACAGGTACAGAGGCTAGGTGGAAGCAGTTATTCTCTTGTGTTCTGTAAGAGGCCTCTCCATTTACTGACCATCAAGAGGATGGTTGAGGTTAGAATGTGAGTCTAATGGCAGTAAAGTGCCATTGGAAACACTGTCGATTCATTGAGCTGCCAAAATACCAACATCCACATTTGACATGGCAGCGTTGTGGGGCTTTTGCCTACCTTGTATCATAGCATTATTATTTTTTATAAATATTGTACTTGGAGTCATGTAAACTAGTATACATCATTCTTGCCATAAAATAAAGAAGTAAAAAAAGGTCACAACAAATTATCTGGCTTGGTTTGTTCTTGGTCAATAGATAAACATGAGAAAAAAATAACTCATGAATTTACGAACGCTCAACACCCGTTGAATATGTCGGCAAAAAAAGCATAGTTAAATTGTTGCCAGCAGCACAGTTACAGTCACCAACGCTATGGATAACATGAAAACAGCCTAAACACCTCTGCTAGGGTGAGTAAAATGGTCAGAGTGAGATTTTCTCTAATTTGTGTCAAAGTAGCTAGCTAGCAAGCTAGCCAACATTAGCCAGTTAGATTGGGTGCTTGACTGCTGTTGTGAGGTCAGAACGCTCGGATCAACCCTACTCTTCCGTCAGAGCGTCCAGTGTGCGTTCTGAACGCTTCAAGAGTGAAACGCTCTGAATTTACTAACTGACAATCTGACAACGCACTGAATTTACGAACACACCCTTGGTTCTCATGACGGATTTGACTCTATGCGATGCAACACTGGAGACTTTCTTCAGCATAGATGGCTGACAGAAATACTAGGATGGAAGCAAATGTAAGTAATATAACGTCAAAACGAATCATGCAAAACAAATTAGTTGAGAGGAATATGTTAGTTCATGTAGAGACAAACGGTTATGCATATTATTTTTGTCATAAGAATTTAGCAAGCAATTATTATTATTATTATCTTTGTTATTTATTATGCTAGCTGACTAGCTAATTTTATGGGCATTGGGCATTGTGACATGAGTATGACATTGTAATTAGTGTTGTTTCATGTTTTAGGGACTCCTGAGAAAACCAGGTAACAACACATCTGCCACACTGATCCTCAACATGGGGGCCCCTCAGGGGTGCGTGCTCAGTCCCCTCCTGTACTCCCTGTTCACCCATGACTGCATGGCCAGGCACGACTCCAACACCATCATTAAGTTTGCAGACGACACAACAGTCGTAGGCCTGATCACCGACAACGATGAGACAGCCTATAGGGAGGAGGTCATTGACCTGGCCGTGTGGTGCCAGGATAACAACCTCTCCCTCAACGTGACCAAGACAAAGGAGATGATTGTGGACTACAGGGAAAAAAAGAGGACTGAGCACGCCCCCATTCTGGTGCAGTCCATGAGGAGGAAACAGTGTTTAAACCCTTTACAATGAAGATCCTTGAAAGACAGGGTCCTGAAAAAGGGACGTTTCTTTTTTTGCTGAGTTTATATTATAAATACATGTTCAATCTGGACTTCAATGCACACCTGGTGTACATTATAAAGACAGGAAGAAAGAGGAGGTGGGGAGAGAGGTGTGAGAGAGTGTAAAAGACAGAACGGGAAAGAGATAAGAACAGAGGAGCAGGGAAGACAGCATATGATTAATGAATTACAGTGCTACTAAACTTCATATTTTCTCAGTTCATCACAATTACATAATAGTGTCTCTAGCAGTGTCTCCCAACCAGCCTTGGGCCCCCAGTTGGCCTGAAGGTTATCTTGAGAGCGGGTGAGGTGGCGATGACGGGACTGGGGGTTGGCATCCTCTCTCACATCAAAACATACCTGCAGATGAGAGACAAATGGAGAGAGAGAGAGAGAGCATGATTAAGCCGTGTGTTTTTTTATTCTAACACTATGTCAGTCATCATAGTCATCAGGAGGTGGAATGCAAAACGTACTTTGGATCATTAACTCTGGGACTGCTACATCTCTATCTGTATTTCGATGTAAAGCATCTCTTTAATAATACTTCCTGTTGACCCAACCAAGTGACCTCTCACCTCTGATCATGCTGTGCCCTCTATGTAGGCAGTTCAGATGCGGGAGGGGTTCACCGACACAGCTGATACAACCTAGAGCAGGACTGCCCAACACTGTTCCTGGAGAGCTACCATCCTGTAGGTTTCTGCTCCAACCCTAATCTAGCACACCTGATTCTATTAATTAGCAGGTTGATAAGATTAATCAGTTCAGTAACACCTGGGGTTGGAGCAAAAACCTACAGGAGGGTAGCTCTCCAGGAACAGGGTTGGGCAACCCTGACCTAGAGGATTTAGGGAGAAGGAGAGAGACTGTTATTGAGAAATTAAGGTAGTTAAAGAGACAGTGTTCAGCAGGAATCTCTGAGTGTGGCCAAATATGCATGTAAATTCATATGTACCTCCGTTAAAAACTACATAACGCTGTGCTGCATCTGCCAACTCAATGTTTGAAGTGGTGCGCTTTTAGAAATGTTTTTCAGTCATTCATATTTAAGCTTGAAATGTGGGAGCATCATGCTTTAATTAGGGTCCCTTAGTAAACCTTAAAGTTAAATAACGTTAGGATATGTTAATCTGTTCTTGAGTTACAAATCATTAAAGTTGGGAAATATTGCACCTTTGGGGGGCGCTACTGAGCACCCCATGGCCAGCAGGAGTATGGGATTGCACAAATAAATCTGATTCATCACAAATATATTTTGTGGCAAACCACAAGTCTGAGCTACAAAAAATATATACTTTTTTTAGATTCCATGACCAGACATGGCTTGTTAAACTAGAAGGTTTTCTAGGGGTGTATAGAGCTTCATGGCAGAAAACAAGTGTATGTAAATACTTATAAAAACGGTGTTACATCAATATTGCAGCCTTGAGAACCTCAAAAATATACTATTTAAACATTCTACACCCTTTATATGCCCGTTCAACCCCTATATCTATTATCTGCATAATGGCCATAACCGCCCCTCTATCGCCATGGTCTTCGGCACAGCATATTTCTGATAAGCAAGACAATTATGTACTGAATTCTCACTGCCTATCCAAATAGAGCAGCTGTGCCATGATTTGGCTTTCACCTTCAGAAAATACATCCATCCATCTGTTAGTTGCCAACTGAACCCAAGCAGATAAACGCACCTGTCGCGAAACATGCCGCATGTCAATATGATGCAGTGGTAGCCAACAGAAAGAATGCGTGTAAGGTAATAAACGTAATTGCATGGTAGGCTATATATACAGTATATAAGCTATGAGGATATACACGTAGGCCTATATGTATTTTAATCTATAGCTACTCCTAGGCTACTATAGGCCTATAATAAACTCTATGAAGATCCACTTATTATCGCATAAAGCCCTATATTACCTAACCTATTAGAAGGTCAGTCAGCAATATAATAAGCCATAATAAGTGGTTCCCTGTTACAAATTGATTTAAAGAAACATCCTAAAGTAGCCTACAGTTTCTACAAGTAATATAATGGAAAGGGGACTATAGTGGTTTATGCTGCTGTGAAGCCGCATGTTTGGGTGTTAGGCAGATAATTGGTCATCCTTTTTTCACGTTGCTTGTAGGCTATTTACCGTATCTTGACTGTCTGACATAAGAATGCAATTTAATCTGGGGAAAGTAACAGTAGCACTGCGTGGCCTAAAGAGCACAACACTGTGTCAGCCCATTCAAAACGCCCTACCTAATTCTTCACCACACCCCTCACGCAAGTCCACTGATGTCAGAATTTGCCTACATATTTCATCTAAGTATTTGCTTTTCAAAATGCAATATTGCCTTTTGATGATTGTTTTCTCATTAGTCAAAAGAAAATCACTAGGCCTACTAAAGTGGTTCAGACCAATCCACTGCTCATAAGTAAGAGGTTCACTGCTCATAACCTATTGTATACCAGCATTGTTCCAGGTGCCTATCTTAGTAGGCTATAGTTCGTGAACTGTATACTGTAAAATTCAATTTTTTTTATACCATGAATATATAAATTTACATTAATTAAGTTTGGTAAAACAACTTTATCAAATCATATGCTGCTGTAAATAGGCATACTACTTTATTTCCCTCATTAGCCAGTAAGCTTCAATAGGACACATGGAAAGATGGTGTAGGGTACAATGCACTGCTGAAATATATGGGTTGGGCTACAGTACATTCTACTCAATATAAGATTTTTATTGACACACAGTTAACTGATTTAAAGTCAAACTGAATAACAGCATGCTGCACTAACACTTTTTACTACGTCAAAATACTTCATTCATACTATGTAATCGATTGAAACACACACACACAGAGTTGTTAGTGCTTAG